CTTTACTGTGATCACTTACTACCTCCCGACACCTTTCTTTACTGTGATCACTTACTACCTTCCGACACCCTTTTTTACTGTGATCACTTACTACCTTTCGACACCCTTCTTTACTGTGATCACTCACTACCTTCCGAGACCCTTATTTACTGTGATCACTTACTACCTTCGGACACCCTTCTTTACTGTGATCACTTACTACCTTCCTTCTGTCTTTACTATGATCACTTACTACCTCCCGACACCCTTCTTTACTGTGATCACTTACTACCTTCTGAAACCGTTCTTTACTGTGATCACTTACTACCTTCTGAAACCGTTCTTTACTGTGATCACTTACTACCTTCTGACAACCTTCTTCACTGTGATCACTTACTACCTTCCTTCCTTCTTCACTGTGGTCACTTACTACCTCCCGACACCCTTCTTTACTGTGATCACTTACTACCTCCCGACACCCTTCTTTACTGTGATCATTTACTACCTTAAACACCCTTCTTTACTGTAATCACTAACTACCTTCCGACACCCTTCTTTACTGTGATCACTTACTACCTTTTGACAACCTTCTTTACTGTAATCACTTACTACCTTCCGACACCCTTCTTTACTGTTATCACTAACTACCTTCCGACACCCTTCTTTACTGTGATCACTGACTACCTTCTGACACCCTTCTTTACTGTGATCACTTTCTACCTTCTGAAAACCTTCTTACTGTGATCAGTTACTACCTTCCTTCCGTCTTTACTGTGATCACTTAATACCTTCCAACACCCTTCTTTACTGTGATCACTTACTATCTTCTGACAACCTTCTTTACTGTGATCAGTTACTACCTTTTGACAACCTTCTTTACTGTAATCACTTACTACCTTCCGACACCCTTCTTTACTGTTATCACTAACTACCTTCCGACACCCTTCTTTACTGTGATCACTGACTACCTTCTGACACCCTTCTTTACTGTGATCACTTTCTACCTTCTGAAAACCTTCTTACTGTGATCAGTTACTACCTTCCTTCCGTCTTTACTGTGATCACTTAATACCTTCCAACACCCTTCTTTACTGTGATCACTTACTACCTTCTGACACCGTTCTTTACTGTGATCACTTACTACCTTCCAACACTCTTCTTTACTGTGATCACTTACTACCTTCCGACACCCTTCTTTACTGTGATCAATTACTACCTTCTGACACCCTTCTTTATTGTGATCACTTTTTACCTTCTGAAAAACTTCTTACTGTGATCAGTTACTACCTTCCTTCCGTCTTTACTGTGATCACTTACTACCTTCCGACACCCTTCTTTACTGTGATCACTTACTACCTTCTGACACCCTTCTTTACTGTGATCACTTACTACCTTCCGACACCCTTCTTTACTGTGATCACTTACTACCTTACGACACCCTTCTTTACTGTGATCACTTACTACCTTCTGACACCGTTCTTTACTGTGATCACTTACTACCTTCTGACAACCTTCTTTTCTGTGATCACTTACTACCTTCCTTCCTTCTTTACTGTGATCACTTACTACCTTCTGACACCGTTATTTACTGTGATCACTTACTACCTTCTGACAACCTTCTTTACTGTGATCACTTACTACCTTCCTTCCTTCTTTACTGTGATCACTTACTACCTTCTGACAACCTTCTTTACTGTGATCACTTACTACCTTCCTTCCTTCTTTACTGTGATCACTTACTACCTTCTGACAACCTTCTTTGCTGTGATCACTTACTACCTTCCTTCCTTCTTTACTGTGATCACTTACTACCTTCTGACAACCTTCTTTACTGTGATCAGTTACTACCTTCCGACACCCTTTTTACTGTGATATCTTACTACCTTCCGACACCCTTCTTTACTGTGATCAGTTACTACCTTCCTTCCGTCTTTACTGTGATCACTTACTACCTTCCGACAGCCTTCTTTACTGTGATCACTTACTACCTTCCTTCCTTCTTTACTGTGATCACTTACTATCTTCTGACACCGTTCTTTACTGTGATCACTTACTATCTTCTGACACCCTTCTTTACTGTGATCACTTACTACCTTCCGACACCCTTCTTTACTGTGCTCACTTACTACCTTCCGACACCCTTCTTTACTGTGATCACTTACTACCTTCCGACACCCTTCTTTACTGTGATCACTTACTACCTTCCTTCCTTCTTTACTGTGATCACTTACTACCTTCTGACAACCTTCTTTACTGTGATCAGTTACTACCTTCCGACACCCTTTTTACTGTTATATCTTACTACCTTTCGACACCCTTCTTTACTGTGATCAGTTACTACCTTCCTTCCGTCTTTACTTTGATCACTTACTACCTCCCGACACCCTTCTTTACTGTGATCACTTACTACCTTCCTTCCTTCTTTAATGTGATTACTTTCTACCTTCTGACACCGTTCTTTACTTTGATCACTTACTACCTTCCGACACCCTAATTTAGTGTGATCACTTACTACCTTCCGACAACCTTCTTTACTGAGATCACTTACTACCTTTTGACACCCTTCTTTACTGTGATCACTTACTACCTTCTAACAACCTTCTTTTCTTTGATCACTTACTACCTCCCGACACCCTTCTTTACTGTGATCACTTACTACCTTCCTTCCTTCTTTACTGTGATATCTTACTACCTTCCGACACCCTTCTTTACTGTGATCACTTACTACCTTCCGACACCCTTATTTACTGTGATCACTTACTACTTTCCTTCTGTCTTTACTGTGATCACTTTCTACCTTCCTTCTGTCTTTACTGTGATCACTTTCTACCTTCCGACACCCTTCTTTACTGTGATCATTTACTACCTTCTGACACCCTTCTTTACTGTGATCTTTTACAACCTTCTTACACCCTTCTTTACTGTGATCACTTACTACCTTCTGACAACCTTCTTTATTGTAATCAGTTACTACCTTCTGACACCCTTCTTTACTGTGATCACTTACTACCTTCTGACACCCTTCTTTACTGTAATCACTTACTACCTTCCGACACCCTTCTTTACTGTGATCACTTACTACCTTCCGACATCCTTCTTTACTGTGATCACTTACTACCTTCCGACACCCTTCTTTATTGTGATCACTTACTACCTTCTGACACCCTTCTTTACCGTGATCAGTCTCTTTTATGTAAAATATTAAGAAAAGAAAAATAAAAGAATATGACAAATTAATCGATAAATTGCATAATAATAGCATATACCGTGACGATGTATTCACTTTTGATAATACTCAATATATTGTCCTCTTTTATACAAAGCTGTCATTGGTATTAAATGGAAAATTTGGAAGTAAAATATACGACAAAAGAGATGATTTTAACTTTTCTATTAATACATTTCTCTGTAAGAACGGATATTTGTTATATCTATCCATTCATGATATACATACTAGTACAGTTAAAGTGGTTCTTTTGTTGATGTCCAATACTTACTTAATATACTGCCGATTTAAATAGATTTTTTTATGTGAGTATTGTTTCTGAGTGTTTTTTTTTTCTTGAGCGGCAGAACCATCTAACAGCTATTGCTACCTAAGCTAGCTTTCTGTAGTGGGCTAAGTAGTTCCCGGGAGAAGCACATTTTGACCCAGCTTTCAAAGTTATGTGACTTTTTTTCTTCCTTGTTGATGTAAGTCGTCATACTGTCGGTACTCGGTACATGTTTTTGTAGTGTGTGTCATAGTGTTATGACATGCGGACAGTTTTGTAGTGTGTGTCATAGTGTTATGACATGCGGACAGTTTTGTAGTGTGTGTCATAGTTTTATGACATGCGGATGGTTTTGTAGTGTGTGGCATAGCTTTATGACATGCGGATGGTTTTGTAGTGTGTGTCATAGTGTTCTGACATGCGGACAGTTTTGTAGTGTGTGTCATAGTGTTATGACATGCGGTCAGTTTTGTAGTGTGTGTCATATTTTTATGACATGCGGATGGTTTTGTAGTGTGTGTCATAGTGTTATGACATGCGGACAGTTTTGTAGTGTGTGTCATAGTGTTATGACATGCGGACAGTTTTGTAGTGTGTGTCATAGTGTTATGACATGCGGACAGTTTTGTAGTGTGTGTCATAGTGTTATGACATACGGATGGTTTTGTAGTGTGTGTCATAGTGTTATGACATACGGACAGTTTTGTAGTGTGTGTCATAGTTTTATGACATGCGGATGGTTTTGTAGTGTGTGGCATAGCTTTATGACATGCGGATGGTTCATTATAAAATTTGGTTTTTAGTGGCAGATCTTTGGAAGCCTCTGTAAAATGTGCAATTTAAGGTGGTACATAACACTACAGGGAGATAACTCTGTAAAAATCACGTTCTATTGTTATAAGGAAATATTAAGCTTCTCAATGATCAAAATTAGTGTTTGTCAAACTGCTATATATCCCATGAAATTTTCCCGATAAAGTGTCTGGTTCATGTTTTTGAAATTTTTATAATTTTGTCGAAGGGTCAAAGTAAATATTTTGTCAAAATTTTATGAAAATTAAACGAGCCAAATTAATTTTAGTCAAGGTATTTGGTACCACCTTAAACATTTGTTTTCTTCATAAAAATGTATTTCAGAACGTTATCTTATCTGATAATATTTCATATATGTCATCAAAGAACATCCAATTAATCAAATTCTCAACCCAATATTAGCTATGTCATAGTAAATCGTTGTCACCTCTACCTGTCTGTCGTTCCAAATTTTGTGTTTGAATCTTAATTGTATTGATGGTATTTAGTTTTTGTTTGATGTCTTGCTGTCTCATTGGTGCTAACTCAAATGCAGTCTAAAAGAGAGTAATTTAATGCTGAGGAAATAAAAGTCTTGTTTTTATATCCTCCTTTCCTCCTAAAAACCTTCAACATTAATTAATCTCTCCTCTTATAAATTTGTATTTATATGTTTCATTTACGCGTTTATCATGTATATGGCTCGGTAAAGCAAATAAATTGTTGACAAAAATCGAGGTTTGTTGTCAAATAATTTTATTCCCTAAACTTTAATGTCTGACATGTATCAGGATCCTGCAATTCATTTTCTGGAAAAAAAATAAAAAAAGATAAGTTTAAATAAATATAACTATTCTACAAATCATATTTGCAAACACTTTCCTTTAATATCAAGTGCTTACTATTCGGAATCCACTTGAAAGTTATACATGTTATATGCAGATTCGTGTATGTATCATACTGCATGGCCAGAAAAGAATAAGTTGAAGTTTATTGACGGCGTTGTTTTTTATTTACATGTACATAATATTATCATTTTAAGTATCGCATGTATCGTTCTTTAAATTCTCCCTCATGAATTCGTCCGAATTTAAAACATTTCTATACTAAATACATGGCTAAATAAGAGACAAGTCATAATTTAGGTTTGTTTGCTCGCAGTAACTTTCTTATTTTCTCAGCGAAACAACATTTAATATCTTGTAAACATTTTACAAATTACAAAAATATACCACAATTCCATCTATATACATTCACAATGTCCTCTAAATACATATCAATACAAACATAACTGTAATATATTATGCAGAGCTTAACGTTAACTTCGTCTATCAAAGTTACTGGAGCACATCGATAATAATCAAACGTAATCAGGACTTATATATGCCTATAAAATCCCACCCGTACTACCGCCCTCGAAATATTCGTGCAGAAAACAACAGTAACATCAGACCACTTCTGATTTACATACTAGCCAAACTTGTACCACAAGTCTAAAGATAGAAATAGAATAGGGAAATTCCAAATATAACGGAATAGAAATAAATCGTAGTATGCCTGTCCTTGTCATCTATTATTGACGTTCAAGACAATGTATTAAGGATGTTCGCTCCTCTTGTTTTTGAAATTTTGCCAGATTTTCGGAATCCTCTGGTTTTATCCATGTTTTGCCATTAAATAATTTTGTCCACTAACCCCTACTTTTCTTTTCATAATTTTATTTCATATAGTTTTAAAAGCCATATTTGAAAATCTTATAAAATCCTTGTTATTTTTTCATAGTTTTTAAAAGAGAAAAGCGGACAATGTTAAAAGTATGAAAAATCTAGAGAGAATAATTTCCCGCCAAATTTTCAAAGGCTTATATCTCAAAAAACAAGCACACGGACCCTTCATTTTTCTCTGTTTTTTTAGTTCCTTTATTCATATACTATCAATTTATAACAGTCTTTTAAAAAGCTTGTTATTTTGAAACAGAGTAGCGAACATCCTTAATTTTGTTTTCAGATTGTTCTCAACTTTAACATCTTAGCACTTCAAATCTTGATCAGAAGTATACGGCATTGAGACAACCCTAAATAACTATAAATCGAAAGACATGTATAGGTTAACTTACGGTCTTCAACAATAGACAAATGTTTATATAATATGTCAAGATCGCAATCTTCCCGAGTCTAGACAAGTGTTAAATAATTTAGACAAAGACTATAAAAAATCCGAGGTCAACATGATATTTGCGAATGATTCAGATAATCCAAAGAAACATATTCATGTGACTAGTTATATAATTGGTTGAACAGCTTTTCAAGTTCCTATTCCGACTAATAGGATTTACACAGGTAACATAGACAGATCTAAAACATGACTGAAAATAGCAAGAGAGAGAGAGAGCCATTTTGGATAAAACGACCGTAATATAGAAGAACAATAATTGATTGAAATATTACTTCAAAACAATGAAGTCTAACATCGGCAGCTGTACTTCGGAGTAGCTGTTTTTTATATACAAGATCATCTTCAATGTTGCAGGATATTTTATCATTACAAGAAAGGAAATAAATGACATGCTATGACAATATTTAATATATACATAATGTGACACAAGACTGATAGCAGAGAACAATACAATAACATTATAACTAACCAAGGGTTTCCTATCCCACACTTCAACATTCAAAGTTATTAATAAAAGTGTTGCTGCTAAAAAATGATGAACAACATGCAACTGATTATAAGGTTGAATCAATGTTGTTACTTTAGAAGATTTATAATCACATGCAAAGGTTGCTTGACCGTTACGTAATATCGTTTCATATGTGTCAAATGTTGCTTGACCGTTACGTTATATCGTTTCATATATGTCAAAGGTTGCTTGACCGTTACGTAATATCGTTTCATATGTGTCAAAGGTTGCTTGACCGCTACGTAATATCGTATCATATGTGTCAAATGTTGCTTGATCGTTACGTAATATCGGTTATATGTGTCAAATGTTGTTTGACCGTTACGTAATATCGCTTCATATGTGTCAAAGTTCTGTTCATATCGGTTATTTCTTTCCCTGTCATAACTCTACCTACATCGAACCACATGATCTAATCGCATTTTCGTTATTAAGTATGATTAATTTCCCTAGATATTTAATTTGTATATTTTAGGGTTTACTGTTTAGTTATACATGCTTTCCCATTAATTATGACGTCATTTGATTAAGGAGTTATATTGACCGTGGTTGTTTTACAATAGATTTGTTTTATGGGATCACTATACTTTACCATTTTTGTTGTTGTCTTTGTTGTTTTTATATATATATATATATATTTGATTCAATCACACACCTTTCTAAATAGATTATGTCTAATAAATCTATCCTTTCATACATATCACTGGTGAAAGATAGTTTTAGCTGGTTAAAGAATCCGTAATAAAAAGAATATGCGTATAATGTACTCTTTCAACCGAATTTTAAAAACATGATTAATACTTCATTTAAAAGCTATTTGCATTGCATTTTAAAAGAAAGGGCACCTGATATGTTTAAATATTAACATCTAAATCAAGTTCGAAAGATTATTCAAGACATGATACTGGTGTAATGATATGTTGTAACCCACTTAGATTGAATACGTTCATTTTGATATTTTTCATAAAAAATCACATAAATGTCATGTCGGTTAATTATTTATACTGACCTTGAGATCTGGCCGCGTGGTCCACATATCTCTGGCCAACCACGACAACGAAAGCATTTTCCGTCCCTTGGTCCATTAAGTGCACAACAAGCGAAACAAATTGACATATTTTTACAATTTTCTGGCCAACCAGGACAAAGATAGCATTTTCTGTCCCTTGGTCTATCAACTTCACAACAACTTATACAATCTGACTCTGACAGTGTGGGTTCTTGTCCTCCCACATCAAGTACTGAAAAAGTGCTTTGAAAGTTTCATCGGTTGCTTTAATAAAAAATGACTGTTTGTTATAATTATTTGATTCATTGTTCTGTTAATTCAAATCGGTAGAATCTAACTGTGTTCACTCCATCTATTACAAGGAAGCTATTCAACTAATACTTTAAAGTGGTGAAGTTGAAATCACCCCTTTTTAAAATTAACAAACGCCATCACGAGTTGGTTGACCGTAATGGAATATCTGTTTCACAGATGACGACGAATAGGTTCCAATTGTCGTAACTACAATCCCGTCCCCTACCCCGAATGTGACCTTCCGAATTATACTTATCATCGGGTTTGTACTTACATGAGCAACCCGACGCATGCCATATGTGAAGCAGTTCTGCTTACCCTTTCAGAGCACCTGAGATCACCCCCAGTTTTGGATGGGGTTTGTGTTGCTCAGTCTTTCTATGGGTGTGTTGTTTGTACTATTGTTTGTTACGAAATGAATGGTCCAATGCGCTTCTTCCTGACATCCTTCAAGACTAAAGCGACAGGGTTCTGCAGTGTAGCAGGTACTACTGACTATTCCTGAGCACATGAGTTCGTTCCTTTTTTTTGTGTGGTTGCTTATACTAAGAAAATATGCTTTTTTGACCCATTTAATAGCATAAACGGGGCATGTTCGAGTTGATATGTAGTAACTGAAACATGTATAAAAATAAGAAGATAGGTATAATAGCCAATAAGACAACTATACAGTTCAAATAAAGTGTATGCAACCAATAATAGGGAACCTTACGTTCTTTATTAATGAAATAACCCATACCGTATATACGTCGGCTATAAAAGGATCCGACATGAAAAATATGAAAGAATTCAATAATTGAAAAAACTAACAGCCTAATTTATGATAAAACAATTTACGAAAAACAAATATGACGGACATGAACAAACGACGACCACTGAACTACAATCTTCTGACTTGGTACAGGCATATATAGAATGTGACGGGGTAAAACATGTTTGGAGGCACCAACCTTCCTCTTAATCTTGGACAGTGGTGTAACGACACGACACAAGAACAAACTACAAAACAATAAACGAAAAACAAATATGAAAACAGCAATATCGACAACCACTCAATTATAGACTCCTGGCTTGGGACAGACACATATATAATATGGCGGTGTTAAATATGTTTGCTGGTGCCAAACCCTCCCCCTAACCAGGGAAACTGATGTAACAGTACAACATAAGAACAAACTATAAATCCTCTGAAAAGGCCTACGTATTCAGATTGAAACCACGCAGAAAAACATTTATTTAATAAACAGAACGGACGTCGCAGGGTATTTAAACGTTCACCAAATCTGAGAGTTCTTGCAGTTACTGGCAGCTAGTTCAAAGCCAATAACAACAAATATAAATTATGTTTCTAAGATTTAAATGTCAGTAATGTATATACTTACCGTATGAAAAGAGTAGAAGTAGCATACATGTTGCTCTAACAATTGTTGATTGGTTCATTTGAAATGATGAACTGAAAAAAAATTTAAATGATCTTTTATGCAATTTGCACTAAATATAGTGTCAAAATGAGTCATTGATGGCTAATAAAGTATGAGAGCTTTCCGTCAAATGGGCCCAAATGAGTTGCGTTCACAAGATAAAACTATTACAAATAATCAAAAAATTTCCTCCAATTTAACAATTGTTGATATGATATGATCAACTACTCATTGTGGCAACACATCTAACCTAAAATGAGAGGTGTTTACTGATAAGTCTTATATAAGATAGGTTCACAAGATATTGCTACATTTCTCCAACAAATGGTCAAATTCCATTAAATCACGTAAAACTTTTCTAAATTTGATGTCCAGGATGAATCTGTTGTTTGTTTTGCACATCATGAGATTATATGATACAGTTCATGATGTTGAATTTTGTGGCATTGTTTTCTGTACCTGTTTATACATAAACACAAAGACCAGACTACATATAATACCGAAAGTATATTATAATAAAAAAAATTACAACTTCAATTGTTTTGTTCACCTTTCAAGTAGATAAAACCGAACAACAATTTAAAGATAAGTCTAGTATCTATAATATTGTTTAAGAGAAGTTCTACCGAGTTAGTTTTGTTAACGTAAACACATTTCAGAAAGGCAATGAACATCCAAATTCGTCATGTGACCAGAAAGTGTACCTCCGTTGTATACCTGTAGTACTAGTATCTCTACGAAATAAAGGTTTCCCAATTATCATCCGACATTGGTTGGTAATAGACTGCAGAATCGGTGACGGTAATGAGGATAGTTTGCTTGCCTCTATGTTTTTATGTGTGTATGTTCGATGTGTTCGTTGATTGCTCAAGCCTGGTTTTGACAGCACTTAACTTTAAATATTTATTCTCTAGGTTTTGTATACGTCTTTTTTATTACACAACTTCCCATTATCAAAGTCAGTTAGGTTAACATGTTAAGTTAAGTGTTCTTTACTCAAAGGAACAACAACATCATTTTAGGTACTTTACCCTCTTCTGCCACTTTTTCGAAAATAGAAGATTAATTTGTTTTTCTCTTACAAATAGGTAACCTGGCAGAATTTAACCTGAACTAGTTCATTTCGTTGTTAAATATTACTGGAAAGATGAAAGACAACATTGAATATTTTTTTGTCATACTTTTGATTTATACTTTTACATCATACTTTTGCTACTTTTGCATATTTATAAACAGCTACATAGATATAGAAGGATGCATTTTGACACCATTTATCGAGATTGTGTCAGGAAACATAAAGATTTATCCTAGAGATGTATTTATCAGGTTATACCAGAACATGATCTACTATAAATTATGAGGAAATGCTTTGTACACTAATGCAGACTTCACGAGAGAAATATAACGAAGGTAAGTACACATTATTCATTTTGTATTTAAAAAAAAGCATTTTATCTATTTTTATAAAAGAATATAATTCTGGTAGCTTATATAATAAGATATGTGTCGGAAAGAAATCAACCGTATGCAAGTGCACGTATACATGTACATGTATAAGACTTTGATTGATTTTGGAACATTAAAACGAGATAAAAGGTGAAATATGGTCTGTTATGTAGGGGTCTTATACCAACATGATTTTAAACAGTTACAGATCTATCTAGACTTTCCATACATCTTTCATAACCCGAAATAAGTTAACAGATGAATTGATTTTCTTAACTTAGGAATCTAACATTAAATTTAACAGTGAAAAATGTAAATTTTAAAAACGTTCATAAGTCATGTTTGTAAAATGCATGTACAACCTTTTTAATATCTTCAGGACGTCTATTTAAAAAGAAACATTAATCAGTTGTTAGAGCATCTTTTGTGTTACTTCTGGTATTTTCATGTGGTGAATAAACGCAATTGTTATAAAACAAAATATTTACCCGAAAAATCTATTCTTAGTATTATGTACATATTAATTATATCATTATATAGGATCATTCTAGGAAATTATGATTTAAATGAAAGTTTAAATACTAGTATTGGTCTACGAAATAAATAAGACAAACTGAAAATGGAGATGGGAAATCAAAGCAAAAAACGACGGACATTTTGCAAAAAGGCAACAAAGATACCCTCAAATTGAATGTTTCGTTGCACGTATATGCATACTCAGGTCGAATCTATACAGAGGCTTAGATAATTCACAGGGAAGCTATCAAACAAAGAGTTCCAAGTGGTTTAATTGAAATCATCCCTTCGAAAATTTTACGGCCGACATCACGAATTTGATGACTGTTATATAATAGTTGTTTCACAGATGACGACGGATATGTCCCGATTGTTGTAACCACAATCCCGTCCTCTTTTCCCTGAATTTGACTTACTGAAAAAGACTTTTCACCGGGTTTGTACTTCAGTGAACAACACGACGGGTGCCATATATATGGAGCAGGATTTACATACCCTTGTCGATCCGGTTTTTGATGAGCTCGTGTAGCTCATTCTTTAGTTTTCGGTGTTGTGTTTTGTATAATTTTGTTCATTTACATTTTTTAAAAGCAAATGCTCTAGGTAAGAAATACCTACTAATTCAGTTGAAATCGGTTTTAATACAGTATATATTGTTTATTTTAGTCATACATCTATTGGTCTGTTTTTCTGATGAAATACCGGGAGTGTAAACTATATTCGGGTTTGTAAATTAAATCCAAAATACGCAAAATCTAGCATTAGTATTATATGATAAAAAAAAAAACCAGAATCTGCTTTAATTTTGGTGATTACCTCTTTATGAGGTATTGAAGTCTTATATTAAAAGAAAAGTCGGTGATATGGGCAAAATATTTTATCCTGAATCACAGGAAAAACCAAGAGTCCGAACATCGCACAAAAATACCTGACCTTAGTACATCCTTAAATCGAATGTTTGTATCTTATTTTTGCACAATCATGTTAATTAGAACCTGTATATTAACATGATCCAAGACATATTGCGCTCAAAGAAAATTGAAGACAGATTGTTGTTAAGGGTGCGATAGTTGAAATTAATATTACGATAGATGCAAGTTCGGATACTACAGAGCGTCTACCTAAGGTTTGCCGCAGTTATAGCATAAATAATAATTCATTCCAGAGAAGTGAAATAATGTTATTAAAGCTTTCTTGAAATTGAAATTGAAACCTTTGAAAACTATAATAAATATTGTATATAAAACACAAATTATTTAATTAAATAAAAAGTGTAGTTATATTAACCTTTGCTACGTTTACCTTGACAAGTCAGACAGATATTTCCAAGATCTGCGTCTGAATTCATAAGATTATTCCCCTAAATGATCAGGATGTTTCGTCAGAAAAATTTGTGTTCGGGACATTTTTTTTTTAACATCATATTATCATAATATGAATCAGAACAGGATGTTTAATCTTGTGACAATGTTTCCTTTTATATGCACGTATCTGTTTATATATAAACGAGGCCATACTAATACGAAAGTATATTATAATACAAATGTAATAACAACTTCAATTTTCAATTTTCAATTTTTCACCTTTCAAGTGGACGAGAGCAAATAACAATTTGAACTAAGTCTAGGATCTATAATTTTGTTTCAGATAAAATATCTACTGATTTAGATATGTTTAAGTAAAAAAAAAACGTTTTATAAAGGAAATAAACGTTCAATTCCATAATAGAACTGGAAAAGGTACCTACGTTGTATACCTGTTGTATATCTGCGATTTAAAGGTTTCACAAAGGCTGATAATAGATGTCAAAATCAGCGACGGTAATGATGATAGTTTGCTAGTTTTTGTGTTTTTTCTAAGTCAGGTTTCGACAGCAATTGTCTTAAAACATTTATTCTCTTCGTGTTGTATATGTCTTTTTATTAATCAAAATACATAATATTTGACTTCCCACTTTCAAAGTAAGTTCGGTTTAGTTTAGTATCCTCTACTCGTTGTTTCTGAAAGGGAAGCAATATCAGTTTAGGTACGTTTCTTCCTTCTGACACTGTTTCGACATTAAAACTGTATGTATGTTCTCTCTGAAAAAATTAACGCAGCAGAATTTAAACTAAACTAGTTCATTTAGTTGTTTAATTTCAATTCCTGCATTGTCCTGAAAAAGTGAAAAACAACATTGAATGTTTTTTTTTTTCATACTTTTGCATAATACTTTTGTATCATACTTCTGCGTTTTGTACGTATTTATAAACAGCTACATACATATAGATGTATGCATTTTGACACCATTAGTCATAATGAATTGTATTATATCACCATAGTATGTTGTAATGTTACACTATTGTTTCAGGTAGGTTGATGGTTGACTCCTATTAAAACGTTTAAACCCGCTGCATTTGTTTTCACCTGTCCTAATTCAGGAACCTGATGTTCAGTGGTTGTCGTTTGTTCATACGTGTTTCTCGTTTCCCTTTTTTTATATAGATTAGACCGTTGGTTTTCCTGTTTGAATGGTTTCACACTAATCAATTTTGGGGCCCTTTATAGCTTACTGTTCGATGTGAGCCAAGGCTCCGTGATGAAGGCCGTACTTTGACCTATAATGGTTTACGTTTACACATTGTGACTTGGATGGATAGTTGTCTCATTGGCACTCATACCACATCTTCTTATATCTATAACCCCCAAGGGTGACTGGGGAATAGAAGTATGGTTACCATTGGTCTTCCTCGGACCGGCAGTAAAACCCTTGCTAAAGTGGGGCGTCCGTTTGGCTGTGCGGGATGTACAAATTTGCAGAATAGGGACGTTAAATCCGATGCCTTGTGTAATGAGAGTGCCACGCTCTTTGCACGTTAAGAACCCTTGCAACAACTCTTTGAGGGGTCCGTGGGTGACCTGTTGCACGGCTAAATTTCTGTCCCTATCCAATATACCCTCCTTTCCCTTGGCAGTCTAAATTTCTCCGACCTTAATCCCGGACGTCCCTATTACAGAACTTACGTTTTGTATTTATTGTTAATTTGTTCTCGTCCTGAATATGCATGAAATATTTGCCACTGGACGTTAAGCAACCAACAAACAATCAATCAATCTTATATCTATATAGGATGTTAGACAACAAAAAGATTATTTCGGGACATATATTTGTCAGACGGAAAATCCTGAATATCCAAGGACATAATCTACTATCAATTATAATGTAAAGTTTTGTTCTTTTTACCTTAACGCTGACTTCAGTAGCTAGAAATATCGAATGTAAGTTCGTCGAAATTATTTTATATTGTTTTTTTTTTATCAATATATGAAAGTTTCAAATTTCAGGTGGCTTTTATAACAAAAGAAACAACAGTTAAACGGGAAGATTTGACCTCAAAACCTTATGGATATAAAATTTAATAGTGCACGATGTAAATCTAAGAAAAACTAAGTCCGTAAGTTATGCTTTTTTTAATGCCTGTTCAATTTTATTATAATTTTTCAGGTCGTCTATTAAGAATGAAACACTTATCAATTGTTGGAACATCTTTTGTGTTATGAATAAAGGCATTTTTATAAAACAAAAATATGTACTCAAGAAATTTATATTCAGAATTATGAACATTAATTAGGTATATAGTCAGATAAGATCATACCACTACAACACGATTTAACTGAACATTTAAACTATTAGTTTTAGTCTACGAAACAAATAAGACAAACTGAAAATGTAGATGGGAAATCAAAGTCAAAGTCGAAGTCGAAGGACAGACACTCCACTACAAAACAGGCAACAAAGATAAAAAAAAAAAAAAAAACCACACACACACAACAGTTCACACTAATTTAGATTCGAGTTACATGAACCTCAAAAATATAATAAGGAGAAAACCGCAGGAGCTTCAGAAAAGTCCACAATACCTGCTGTATTTGTAAAACCGGGGTTTAACTTCAGTTCACATCCGTTTTTAGGTCATAAGCATTCCCAGGTAATTGGTAAATATATCTTGTTTTAATTTAATACCTTCTCAGAAAGAAACTATTGCAGAGAGAGAGAGAGAGAGAGAGAGAGAGAGAGAGAGAGAGAGAGTCTTGCCTATTCTTTCACATTGTCAAACATTACCTTTAAAGACGTATTCTCTCATGAATAACATTTAGTTGTACATTATATCTATAAAAAAGTTCGGCATGTTAAAACTAAACAAGAACAACATTCATCATAGTATTAGATTTCGGAATGACTTTGAAAAATAATAAAGCAAAAAGTAAAATAACAAAAATACCGAACTCCGAGAAAAATTCAAAACGGAAAGTCCCTAATCAAATGGCAAAATCAAAAGCGCAAACACATTAAACGAATGAATTACAACTGTCATATTCCTGACTTGGTACAGGCATTTTCGTATGTAGACAATGGTGGATTAAGTCTGGTTTTATAGCTAGTTAAACCTCTCGCATAAAATTCCCATATATTGACAACGATGTGTCAACAAAACAAACAGACATAATAGGTAAAAAAGTCAAAAATAGGTGTACAGCAGTCAACATTGTGTTATACTCTTAATCACTATATAAACAAACAAATATATCAACAAAGAAAAACAAAAAGGCATATAGACAAAGCACATAAGCAAAAACGAAAGACAAGAATAAAAAAATTTACAATAGCACAATAACACAATGACGGGATGTATAAGTACTGAGCCACGTCAAATGGATATTACCAAAAACAGACTAAACAGTAATAGTAATAATTTACAAAGACAAATAAAAGAATACTATAACACGTTAAAATCTTTAATCTTTAATATTAAATACGCAGAGTGAACAAATTAAGGTTTTAAAATGACGAAAAAATAATGTTACAAAACCTTGAATCATTCCTGAAGCAAATGATGATTGTTAAAAATATACTATTCAGTTCTGGAAGAACATGGAGTGAAAGGACAACCACCGATCAGTGAAAAGGTGCACAGTTGTCAAAGACACTGACGACGACCACCGTAAAAATCTGGATGTAACAATTGCTGTAGTGCAAACAGTAGATAATACGACAAAGAACAACGCTATTATAACTCGTGGCATTGTTGGTATAATGGTTAACCCTTTATGTCAGTATAAGGTAAAAAAATCAAGACGTGACAATAATAAAATCATTTAGTTTTACATATTGAATGCAATTGAATTTGTTTTGTCATATAACAAGACCTGTGCCTGGTCTAATCTTGCTGATTGACACAATTAGATACATCACTGTGGTAATGCATGCAAAAACGACATTTATAACAGCAAAAAACAACAATTATAACAGCAAACGCAACAATAATAACAACAAACGCAACAATAGCAGAGACAACAACAACAGCAAAAGTTAGGTACTGTGGTTTCTGGAGACATAAGATATTTATGACATCTTCAAATGACAAACATCCTGGTTAATTAAGATTTATGAAAAGACATACACTTTGTTCAGTATATACACGTTGTTCAGTATATACACATATACACATGTGTTCAAATATATTCCCTAACCGTCCACCAGATCATGATGGCTATTGTCAGGTAAAAATCATATTAGTTTTTTATTACAGTTCATTTGAATTATCAGTTGAATTTTGATCCGAAAGCTATAGAGTAGAACTTTTTAAAAACCATTGTAGGTCATGAGCATTCCAGGTTATCGTACCTGAATGAAAATAACACTTTATAAATCTCGTGAATCGTAAGTTATTGGTTTTTTTTAACTGTTATCAGGAACGCTTTAACCAAATTTTTTGAAAGCCATGTAGTCTTAAAATTGAAAATGGAAATGGGGAATGTGTCAAAGAGACAACAACCCGACCAAAGAGCAGAAAACAGCCGAAGGCCACCAATAGGTCTTCAACCCAGTGAGAAAATCCCGCACCCGGAGACGGGCTTCAGTTGCCCCTAAACAAAAATGTTCTTTTTTTCTAATTAAAAGCCACATTCTTTCAAAGTCGAGTTAGGAAAATAAAGTCAACAAACATATTTGAATCAAAGTCCTAACGGATATAGATTTTTCAGTGCAATTAAAGGGATCTATTTATACATGTATAACGAGCATACTATTTAACAGAAAATAATGTCTGAAGAATAAAAAAAGTTATGCTGATTAAGAGTAAAAGTCTCACTGATAATATCATAACTAACCTCATATATTTCACTTGTTTAAAATTCTTTCAGATTTTACCTGTAAATGTACATTTTAATCCATATTGTAACTTAATTACCCTTTATTACAACTGACAATATTATTACACATATTTTGTCACCTGTTCCAATGATTACAAAAGACAGACTCATCAGGGACCCGATTGTCCAGCATATAAGACATACAAAAAAGTATTTTTCCGACTATGTCCCAGTGTGTACTGTACCTGGATTTTGAAATTTTTATAATACAATAGATAAAATGCCTTTTTTGAAATATAAAATTATTAAGTCGTACTTACCTTCGTTATATCTCCCCTATTAAATCTGCGTTAATGTACACAGCTTTTTAAAATAATTTATAGTGGATTGTGTCGTTATGTAAACAGGATTTTTCGTCTGATAAATTCATTCCAGTAATTGTTTATTAAATAATATAAATATGTATGTAATACATTTGTTATAATATACTGTAAACAGATGTTTGGGATTACCATCAAGATTCTATAAAAAAAAAAACTGTATTAAGCTATGCTTCACCAGGATTGATTTACGAAATGAATGCTTCTTTATGTAATTTTATATTATATTATTGCCACAGCCTCGAAGAGTTTATGCTTAACCAATACAGCGAATAAAGGAAAAGAAAAATGGTCAAAAATCAATAATATTACATAAAGAAAAAAGGGCTTAAAGATGTATTCATCATTGTATAATTGACGAATATATTGAGACGATTATTATTTACCATATATGTATGCGTTATTGCAAATTTGTTTGTACATTTATTTGTAGGTGAAACCTGAGCATGATATGCAAATAAAAGTATATATAACAAAAAACAAAAAAAAATAATTGTTTCATAATTTTGATTGAGTGTATACATGTACCAGAAAGTTTGAATATAACTCATATCATTTTTTTATTTTATGATTAGATGCTTTCCAAAATACATACAAATTTCATAAAAATCCAGATAGCGCCAAATTATGTATACTTTGATTTTCTTAAATACAAATAATGCGTGTATTGATAGATCAACAAGAAACAAACATACGAATAGGAGAAGATATCGAAGAAGTACTAACAACATAAATAAAAGAACAAACAATAACAAATTCCACAAGATATTACACAAAGAACTAAAGATTGTTCAACAGGTATTCGCTGTTCACAAGGAAGCTATTAAACCAAGAGTTCCAAGTGGTGAAGTTGAAATCATCCTTTCGTAAATTTTACGGACGCCATCACGAGTTGGTTGACCGTTACGGAATATCCGTTTCACAGATGATTGATGATATGTTCTTAATGTCTTAACTGCAATCCCGTCCCCTTTTTCCGAATGTGACCTACCAAATTAGACTTATTATTGGGTTTGTACTAACATGAGCAACACGACGGAAAACACATGTGGAGCAGGATCTGCTTACCCTTCCGGAGCACCTGAGATCACTCCCAGTTTTTGATGGGGTTCGTGTTGCTCAGTCTTTAGTTTTCTAAGTTGTGTTTTGTGCACTATTGTTTGCTTGTTTGTCTTTGTTTTTTTTTTTGTTTTTTTTAACCATGGCGTTGTCAGTTTATATTCGACTTTTGAGTTTGAATGTCTATTTGGTATCTTTAGCCCCTCTTTTATAGTCAGTAAATGGAGATAAAATAGCGGATTAGTGCATGACTTTTGTCTATCCATTAAACAAAAAACTATAAAACAACCAGTACCAGTTAGATCAAATACATGACCGAATATAAAGGTAACTAAATTTTTGTAGACAAGAGTCAAAAAATTAAATTAGGGTGCTAAGGCTAGGTTTATCCTGTCCAGTACTACAGACAAAATTTCACTTAACATTTCATTGCATGTAAGAAAATAACCATCTCTGAAAGTTAACCAATCAAATTTTCACCCCTTTTTTTCCTGTGTACAAACTTAAGTAACCATGTAACTTCAAGTTTTTAAAATATTCTATAGAAACACCAAATAAATAAAGAATGGTCTTTGAAACACCCAAGATATATGTTTATGACTTAGAAAATTTTTACAGCAATTTTCCTACAACTGTCAAATTCAAGGGAATATTTTTTTCGACCCTTTTTCGTATGCAAACAGATTTGACGTACTATGATTTGGTGGTATTACACCTAAAGAAGATTTACTAAGCATGCTAAGTGTCTAAGATAATTAATCTGAATTGAGAAAGTGCTATCTATTTGTACTACTTACTAAGCATACCAAGTGTCTAAGATAATCTGAAATGAAGGAGTGCTATCAATTTGTTCTACATACTAAGCATGCTAAGTGTCTAAGATAATCTGAATTAAAAGGGTGCTATTTATTTGATCTCCTTACTAAGCATGTTAAGTGTCTAAGATAATCTAAAAAGAAAGAGTGCTATATATTTGTAATACTTACTAAGCATGCTAAGTGTCTAAGATAATCTGAATTGAAAGAGCACTATCTATTTGTTCTACTTACTAAGCATGCTAAGTGTCTAAGATTATCTTAATTGAAAGAGTGCTATCTATTTGTTCTACTCACCTCACTAAGCATGCTAAGTGTCTAAGATAATCTGAATTGAAAGAGCACTATCTATTTGTTCTACTCACCTCTCTAAGCATGCTAAGTGGCTAAGATTATCTGAATTGAAAGAGCACTATCTATTTGTTCTACGCACCTCACTAAGCATGCTAAGTGTCTAAGATAATTTAAATTGAAAGAGTGCTATCTATTTGTTCTACTTACTAAGCATGCTAAGTGTCTAAGATTATCTGAATTGAAAGAGCACTATTTATTTGTTCTACTCACCCCTCTAAGCATGCTAAGTGTCTAAGATAATCTGAATTTAAAAAGTGCTATCTATTTGATCTACTCACCTCACTAAGCATGCTAAGTGTCAAAGATTATCTGAATTTAAAGAGCACTATCTATTTGTTCTACTCACCTCTCTAAGCATGCTAAGTGTCTGAGATAATCTGAATTGAAAGAGTGCTATATATTTGTTCTACTCACCTCTCTAAGCATGCTAAGTGTCTAAGATAATCTGAATTAAAAGAGTGCTATCTATTTGTTCTATTCACCTCTCTAAGCATGCTAAGTGTCTAAGATTATCTGAATTGAAAGAGCACTATCTATTTGTTCTACTCACCTCACTGAGCATGCTAAGTGTCTAAGATAATCTGAATTAAAGGGTGCTATATATTTGTTATACTTACTAAGCATGCTAAGTGTCTAAGATAATCTGAATTAAAAGGGTGCTATCTATTTGATCTGCTTACTAAGCATTTTAAGTGTCTAAAAAAATCTGAAAAGAAAAAGTGCTATCTGTTTGTTCTACTGACTAAGCATGCTAAGTGTCTAAGAAAATGTGAATTGAAAGAGTGCTATCTATTTGTTCTACTCACCTCACTAAGCATGCTAAGTGTCTGGGATAATCTGAATTGAAAGAGTGCTATCTATTTGTTCTACTCACCTCACTAAGCATGCTAAATGTCTAAGATAATCTGAATTGAAAGAACACTATCTATTTGTTCTACTCACCTCACTAAGCATGCTAAGTGTCTAAGATAATCTGAATTGAAAGAGCATTATCTATCCGTTCTACTCACCTCACTAAGCATGCTAAGTGTCTTAGATTATATAAATTGAAAGAGTGCTATCTATTTGTTCTACTCACCTCACTAAGCATGCTAAGTGTCTAAGATTAATTGAATTGAAAGAGTGCTATCTATTTGTTCTACTCACCTTACTAAGCATGCTAAGTGTCTACGAATATCTTAATTAAAAGAGTGCTATCTATTTGTTCTACTCACCTCACTAAGCATGCTAAGTGTCTAAGATAATCTGAATTGAAAGAGCACTATCTATTTGTTCTACTCACCTCACTAAGCATGCTAAGTGTCTAAGATAATCTGAATTGAAAGAGCGCTATCTATTTGTTCTACTCACCTCACTAAGCATGCTGAGTGTCTAAGATAATCTAAATTGAAAGAGTGCTATCTATTTGTTCTACTCACCTCACTAAGCATGCTAAGTGTCTAAGATAATCTGAATTTAAGGGTGCTATATATTTGTTATACTTACTAAGCATGCTAAGTGTCTAAGATAATCTGAATTAAAAGGGTGCTATCTATTTGTTCTGCTTACTAAGCATGTTAAGTGTCTAAGATAATCTGAAAAGAAAGAGTGATATCTGTTTGTTCTACTGACTAAGCATGCTAAGTGTCTAAGATAATCTAAATTGAAAGAGCACTATCTATTTGTTCTCCTCACCTCACTAAGCATGCTAAGTGTCTGAGATAATCTGAATTGAAAGAGTGCTATCTATTTGTTCTACTCACCTCACTAAGCATGCTAAGTGTCTATGATAATCTAAATTGAAAGAGTGCTATCTATTTGTTCTACTCACCTCACTAAGCATGCTAAGTGTCTAAGATAATCTAAATTGAAAAAGCACTATCTATTTGTTCTACTCACCTCACTAAGCATGCCAAGTGTCTAAGATAATCTGAATTGAAAGAGTGCTATCTATTTGTTCTACTCACCTCACTAAGCATGCTAAGTGTCTAAGATAATCTGAATTGAAAGAGCACTATCTATTTGTTCTACTCACCTCATTAAGCATGCTGAGTGTCTAAGATAATCTTAATTGAAAGAGCACTATCTATTTGTGCTAATCACCTCACTAAGCATGCTAAGTGTCTTAGATTATCTGAATTGAAAGAGTGCTATCTATTTGTTCTACTCACCTTACTAAGCATGCTAAGTGTCTAAGATTATCTGAATTGAAAGAGTGCTATCTATTTGTTCTACTCACCTCACTAAGCATGCTAAGTGTCTAAGATAATCTGAATTGAAAGAGTGCTATCTATTTGTTCTACTCACCTCACTAAGCATGCTAAGTGTCTAAGATAATCTGAATTGAAAGAGCATTATCTATCCGTTCTACTCACCTCACTAAGCATGCTAAGTGTCTTAGATTATATAAATTGAAAGAGTGCTATATATTTGTTCTACTTACTAAGCATGCTAAGTTTCTAGGATAATCTGTTACTAGAACAGTCTGTTAAAACTTACTGATGAAAGGAAAACTATATTTTCTGTTTTATAATATGTAAAATGATATGTCTTATATTTCACTTACCTCAATAAACCGATGAAATAAACCACCAAAGAATAAAAACCTGCTCTCATGGTATTGTTATTTGATAAACACTAGTGGTTGCACGTATGAAAATTAAACATACATATTCAACACTAAAAATTAATTAGTTCATGAATATTATTATTCAAATTTAAAAACAAACAAAGGTACAAAGGATGCAACAGTGTAAAATAAACGGTATGAAAATAAGGAGATGGTGTATGATTGCCAATCAGACAACTATTCATAATTATTACATTGGTAACAATGAATTAC